CAACTATAAAGTCTCCAAGAATGTCTAAAAACACTAATATTCTCTCAACGATCTTTCATCGTAATATATTCTCGCGCGTTCCACACAAAAGGATAATCCTTGTTCTTGAACTTGTAATCCAAATCTCATTTCAAACATGTACAATTATAAATAAAGGATTCAATAAAATTTGTTGTCTCGAAAGGAAAGGAAGGGAGAAGAGACGGAAAGAATACGAGCGAATCGAATCGTCGGTAGGCGATATTAACGAATTCAGAACGGACACGTTCGGATGTTAGATCGGCGGCGTAGTGTCACGTTACTTCGCAATGCTTCGGAATGCAAAATCGCGGCGACGAACGAGCTAGTCTCGTTGCTTACGAAGGCCTCTCTCGGGTCGCTTCAAAATGTCGAAACACCGAGATCCCGGCCCGAGGAACTGGAGAACCGACACGGTGCACGGACTCGAATTCGCACTTCGTTGCGTTTTCGTCCATTATACGCGATCTTCCTTTTTCCTTTACATTTTGTAATATAATATTTGCCATACGCATGTAAAGGTGTTAATTTAAATTTCTTTTGTGAAGAATGATTCTCGGTTAGCTCGATTCTCTCCATTCCTTTTTTTTTCTTTTTACGCGCTCGTGAAATTATTTAAATTACGCTGAAATTTTCACCCATTTTTCTCTCATTTTTGGTTAATTTTTTTTTTTTTTATATATAAATAGATTTGTCATGATACAACGTTCGATCGAATGTCCTCTCGCGAGAAGATGTAGATCTCTATCTTTAATTTTGATTTTTAATTTTTCAGTATATGTATTTCGTGATCGTTAAAGAACTTGTACAATCTTTTATATCGTTTCTTTATTCAGTTTTATACTTGATTATTTTTGAAAATCGAACAATATTCTGGTATTCAAAATTTAGATGGATATTTGTTTTAAATCTCGTTTCAATTCTAAGAGAAATTTTCATCTGTCGTGAAATTTTAGAAAATTACGAACGAATACAATTTTTAACAAGTAAGTTCTTCCAACTATCCTCAAAAATACCCATAACTCCTCCCATTAATTCCGTAACAAAATGAAATATTTATATCACAGTAGACTCTCGCCTTTTAATTAACCAACGGGATATACGATCTCATTTGTTTGTCCCAAATAAACACGAATCGCGTAAAGTAAGCAATTTAGGGGATAATTTCGTGATTTACGATTCAGTAAGTATATTCGAAGTGAAAATAAATCAAAGAAGGCTGGAATTGTAATAACAGTGAATGAATTGAAAGGAAAACAATCACTTTTGCTAGGGAATCGGTTATATAGAATAAGAAAAGTTGATTTTAGAATATCTATACTTATTCAGAATTTATTTACAAAAATTTTCATTGTACTTCCTATATTTGTTCGTTCACTTGTTCAATCGCTAACGAATAACCGACAAGTAAGAAAGATAATGATCGGATATAATGTTTCATCGATCGATCTCGCAAGGAAAGACTCGTTGTCCTTCGTTTTTAGAAAAAAATTTTTGATTCATGGATACTCGATACATTCGACGTGGAACAAATTGCGGGAAAATTGAGTTGCGTATATTATTCGTTATTTATTGATATCTATAAATATTCTTACCGGATAGAATTTTTATGGAAATTTTTTTACATCATCAAATTAATATTTTTTTAATTAAGTTCGTTTCTGGAATTTCGATGTTTCGATTTTGTAAATTTATTTTGTTTGGAAAAATTAATAATATATTTTTTTTAAAAATATAAAAATTTTTCAGATAATATCAATTGATAAATTAAATTATCTTATTTTGGGAAACATGACGATAATTTTCCATCAATTTTATCGATAATCGCTATCAAAAAGTTCAATTGTACATTTATTTTTAGCGTAAAGAAAAAAATCAAAATGTATAAACAAGGGGAGGAAAGAGGAAGAAATTTATTTCAAAATCGAGATGAAAAAATGATAAGATAAATGAAGATGAATTCGTTTCAAAGAGATCACACGGAATTATTTTCAAGACGAGAAACATTCAGTGACATCTTGTTTAAGGGAAGAAAGAAAAAAAAAGTGGAATGTGACAAAATGAAACATGCGATTTCCCTTTCGAGAACGCGCTGGTCAACTTCCGCCTGTTATTATCGATTTTTAATTAAGTTCGGAGCTCGATTACAAGAAGCCGCGAAGCTCGTTTAACCTTTATTTACGACCTTCGATGTTAATGCATGAGAATGCAACTAATTTACAAGCAAAATCGCCGGAATGAAAAGAAAAGATGAAAGAGGAATAGTGATTTTTTTCGAAACCTGTTCGTAAAACGAGTGGATCAATCGTGATTTTTATCTTGTTTAAAAAATTGTTTTCAACTTCTTAAAAAAAATCTTTTATTTTTAATTATAAAGAAAAATAAAAAACTGTACGAAGTGAAAGAGTTTTGTGTAAAATAGAAATATAATTCAAAAATTCAATTTTATTATTATATTTTTATTTAATATAATATTCTTTATTTGATTTTCTGCAATTATGACATTATTCGAAATATATTTCAATGCTATTTCTATTCTATTATATCCTATATATATAAAATTTCTTCTATCTTATTTATAAATTAAAAATTATAATCTAAAAATTAATTTTATATGCAAAGTATCGGTAAAAGTAATACATTTGATGTAAATAAATTAAACCAAATGCAACTAGACTTAATCGAACTTTTGTTTCACGATTTCTGAAAAAAATTAAGGATTTATGTGACTTGATAGTATTGATGCAACCTTGATGCAATGTTATATCATTATTTTTTAATGTTATATCATTCCGCCTCGCGTAACCTTTCCATAAAGTTCGTACAAACGTGATACTCGACGATATGATAAAATTATTTCCCTTATTAGCAAAAGTTAACATTACCATAGAATAATCTTATCTGTTTCAAGCTATTTTACAAGTAATTTATTTGGATTCTCATAAATAATATATGAAGATAACGTACCTCTTAATTCTACTAAAATCATTGAGTCTCAAATATCTCAATCTTTCAAAAAAATTGTAACAAAAATAGTGTAATTAGCGAAATTAATAATTATAATGACTGGGCTACTTTTTTTCCTAATAGATATAAATTTAATTTATAAAAGAAAAGAAATAAATTAGATTAGTTACAGATTAATCTATTTTTCCTATTGATAATGTTAAAGATATGAATGTTTTAATATTCTAAAGAATTAATCGGTAAATATTTACTTCTTAATAAAGATAAATTGCAAAATAAATATTGCAAAATATATTAGTTTCTGTTAAACTATTTTTTTATAAAAAATATATTTAAATAAAATAATTACTTAATTGATAAAAATAATATATCTTTCTTTTTTTTAATATTTATTAAAATTATTAAATATAAAAATCGCAAATAATATTTGACAATATATATTTCAAAATTATTTGTGAAAATATGAAATATGAATATGAAAATATAAATTTAGATGGAATAAAATAAAATAAATAAAAAATAAATGGAAGATAAATCAAATAAAATTATCATTATATAATACTTGATCTTATTTCAATTTTTAATTAAACTTTTAAGAAAAATTGCATGAATTAAAAATTTTTCTATTTATCGAATTCACAAAATTTTGATAATTGAACGATAAGTAATTATCTGCATCTTATGTTTTATATCATCATTATTGACCTTTCTTTTAAATGGTCAACTCGTGACGTCCGTAAAATTTAAAAAAAAATACATACGAGAAAATGAAAGAGACATGCACAAGAAAATACCAGTACGAAAATAACATGAACGAAAACAGATTTAACAGAACTATACTGTTGAATATCTCTCTTTGAAATATCATGAAAGTTAAGTTAAAACTTAAATAAAAAAAAAAATGGAAAAATCGATCGATTTTGATGAATAATCTTGGTCTTTAATATATAAGTATGATTCGACGATAAGAAAATAGAAAATATAATATCGATATATATAATGTTACTATAATATTATTATAAATAATTTAAAAAAAAAAGAATATATAAGAGAATCTTCGAAAAAAAAAATTTAAATTTTCTAGCACTTTCAAATTTTCGCGCCAAAAATGCAACATGTTTTAATTGTCAATGTCAATGGAACGAAGAAAATTTATGAATCTATTATATCTGAATCTATATTAACTGTATTAGAATAAAAATATAAATAAATATTACAGAAAATTACAACGAATCTTTTTTTTTCACGCAGACAGCCATTTTGTTAAAAATCATTGACACAATTGCATATTTAATTTATGTCGTTCTTGTTGGTTAAGATATGAAATAATTCTTACCTTTTATTATATGAAGAAACTTCATACTGCATAATATGCTTTTAATGCTTTTTTTCAATATTCATTTATCAATATTCTGTATTCATTTCTTCGAATTCTTGATTTCACGAATATATAAAAATTCTGACAATCGAATTTCACTCGATATACGGAAGATATACTTGACAAACAAATAATAAACTATTTCCACAAATTTTAATATCAATATATTACATTTTTCTGTAATAAAGAAAACGTCAATCGCGATATTATACACAATTTTATCACAATATTTCAAACTACAAATTCCACTGCGACATATTCGACACTGATCGAAAGTGACCGTGACTTTTACATTACTAACGACCAATTAGACTATTTCCCTCCAAAATAGCGTGGAGTAAATATGAACTACGTATATCGAAAGTTTCGACTTTTAATCGATAATTTATTTATCACATCTTTATGTCATGACAAGACAGTAATTGTGCATTTATGCGAAATTGAAAAATGTAAATATATTTTATGTTCATAAAAATATAAATTTGCACAAATATTTAGGCTAATCATGACTAAATTTCTATAAAATATCCCTACCATACAATATATTAAAAAAGAAATAATTATCGATTATTTCGAATAATCGATTGATCCACGTGTTTCTCAACTAGCGAAGCACCTGCTGTAGAATCGAACCTACCTCTCGATTCGCGATCGGTGTTCCAAAGATCGATATCGATTGTCCGGAACCACAGAGTCTTCTCTGACACTTTTCGACGTCACACCGTAATATTTCAACGGGGAATTCGAAGATTGTACAGAGTGAATTGTAGACGAAACTCGCGTAAAGATGAACGAAACGGCGAATCGTGTGTCGAGGATGACGACGAAGAAAGAAATGAACTGAAAACACGCGACACGAGCCGCTAGCACGCACCGACTGAACGTGGACGCGAACAGACTGGTATCGGCCACGGGCAGCAGTCTCCCTAACAACATCATCCCCACCACAGTACCATTCAGATGAATTTTTATCTAGACCGTTATTCGAATAGAATTGTGTCCGTGTACACAAGATTCAAAATTTGCATCGAATAGTACTGTAATTCAAATCAAGTGCTTCTATTCTGATAGTAGTAAATAAATTTTACAGGATCGAATGTTTTCGATCGATAAACAATTCTTTTTAATATGATTTGAAGAGAAAAGTTAATAGAAAAGTTAAATATTGTTGTTTATGTGTGAATGTGTATAAACTTTTTAGTATTAAGATAAAACGGTTTTTATTAAAAATATATTATAAATAAGAGATGTTTGAAAATTAAAATTATCATTTTTATAGTGAATATTTTTATAGTGAATAATTTTTTTTTTCAGGTGAGTAAATCTTATTATTTATATTGACTTATAATATTATTTTAATATATATAAATAATAGAATGTAATAGTAAAATAAATGAAATAGAATAGATAAATAGAATTAAAAGTATTTAGTAATTGTTAACAAAAAGGAAATGACTATTATCAAGAAAAAATTATAATTTTTTAACTTTCTTACATATACCATATAATAGAATAAAATTATTCTACTTTCAATAAACATATAGTAATTTATCTTTATCTACGTCATTTATCTTTATCTATGAATATATAATCGTTTAATAGGTTAAAAATATCTGTAATTATAGTTATAAATATAGATAATATCATAAAAAGATAGAAGTATAAGATAATAAATAAGATATAAGTATATTGCTTAAGTATTTTTATATGTTAAATAATTAAACAAATTAATTTTAATTTATTTCATTTTATAAAGATTTTTATGATATTTATATTTTGTGATATTCTCATTTTAATAATAATAATAATAATATTTTTATTTAATTTGATTTAAAATAAAAAACTGAAAAATAATCATATAAAAATTAAAAAAAAAAAAAAAGAAATAGAGATTTATTGAAAATTTAATAAATTCGTTAAATAATAATTATGCAAAATTGTTAATAGTAGAATTGAACACGGTATATTTATAAGTATAAATTATTACTTTTTCACATAATATGCATATGTTATATTAATATGTTACTTAGGCAATTAATATACTTTTCTAAACATTATAATATTTAAATATTGTTATTATATATATAAATAAAATTTCAAAAAGATTTATATTTTATGTTATATTTTTTTATTACTATTTTTTTCTAGTTTGATATAGTCATAATTTTAAAAGTTTAAATTATTTATAACATTTATTTATAATATTATATTATAATTTTAAAAAAAACTATAGAAATTTTTTCATATTTATTTTGTATAATGATATTCAATATTCAATATTATTCAATCAAATATAATTCTAAATAAATCTTGTTTAACTAAAATGTTTCTTTTAAAAAACTATATTTATAAACTATATTTCTTAAAACACTGAAAATAATTTATAAATCTAAAATTGTATAAAAATTTTTTTAGAACAAATTATAATTATCTCTAAAAGATTGTTTAATATTCATAATTATTTGTTATAATACTTAACACTAAAAAGAAACATTTCTTAGAAATTTGTAAAATCCAAATAAAAATTTTAATCATAATATTGATTAACAATAAATCTTATTATAAAATTAAAATTATATTTATAGAACATTATAACATTAATAAATCATTTTAATAGAATATTGAAAAATATAATTATACTTAAATAAACACTATTTAAAATATTTATTTAATTTTACAGATAACTACCTATGCTATTATTGATACGATAGATAGCATATTTACCCATCGAGCAACAGTTACCAGGTGAGAAAAATTACAAATTCCGCTATTATATCAAACACTTACATTCGAACTTACATTCAGTTTTTTAAAATTATATTTGATTTTCGTATTTAAAATTTTACTTATAAATATTTAATATATATATTTATTCGCAAATATGTATATTTCATCATATGAATAGATATGAAGCTATTGCTATATTAATATGCTATTTACAAATTATAATTTTTTTTTTTAATATAAATAATAAATTTTTTTTTTTTTCTATTTAGAAAATAAAATTTGTAACAAAATTGAGTGAGACTAAGATATTATTCATAATCACTCGGTTTTTAATTTTTCGAGTTCCGTCATAGATGTCACGAAATAGTTTTGAAATGTTGAGTTCGAAATTCTGCATTTGTGCAAATAATAAAATGTAAATAAAACGATCGACAAAATAACAAAATTATTGTTGTTCATATGCATTTAATTTCCACTAATTTAGTTTTTTTTTATTTGCAAATAAAAAATCTCGAGTCTCTAAATTTCAATCTCAATTTTTGAAAAAAAAAAAAAAAAAAAAAAAAGACAAAATTTGATAAATTGTTATAAGAGGACTTTATAAAGAAATAAAAAACTAACATTTTTTAAATTTTACTTTGAATTTAATGGGAAATCATTTTTATTATTATTTTATCACTATGTTTTAAAATATATAATAATAGTAGTAGTTATACATATATATTCTGGCCATCGTACAATTATTATGAACTCAAAAAATAAATTTTTCATTCATTTTATTATCAATTTTTGATTATTATCATTATATTCTAATTTGATTAAAAAAATTTAATAAAATCTATCCCATCTAATTTATATAAGTGCTCTATTTAATATTCAAAAAATTTTTAATTTTTATCTTATCTATTTGCATTAAATTTTTGGTTTATACTTTAGATGTTTTGTTTATATATTTTTATTTTTTTTTTTATAAAAAATACATATGAAATGAGTGCAAGAACATCGTTTAAGGAATTGCGGCAAAAATACTAAATTAAAAAAATTTTTAATTTTATATTAATTATTTATGAATATTAGTATATTAGTATACATAAATAAAATCAATAGAAATTTAAAATAAAATTTTGAAAAGTCTTTTATTTTCAACAAATTTAAAATCTTTTTCAATTATATTTATTTTTTAATTATATTTTTTAATAAATTTTCTATGTACATTAAATATACAAAAATTATTCAATCTAATTATAAATCTGAACATATATTTTTTAAAATATATTTTTTGTTATTAATCATGATCAAGAAGACGATAAGTATCTTATTTACTCTACTTTGGCTGTACCCATAAAAAAATATATTTATTTTTTATATCATTATAATATTTCTATGGAACAATATTCCACTGATGTTGTAAATTTGGTTCTGCAATCTGTAGCCAAGATATAAATTAAAGAATATATATAATATAATATATTTTTTTCACAAAATCCTTTTATATTAAACATTTATTTTACCTTTGATGTAAAGTCATCAATGCATGCTAAACGAATACGAGCTGCAGTTGCAGGTGCATCTAATTGAAAATAATTTTTAAGATTATAATCTGTGCGAGCAGATTTAATAGCTTCTTTTATTGCAAAAAATATAGAGGATGCAAGAAACAGTGGAGGTTCTCCTACAGCCTAAAAAAAAATAAAATAATAATAAAAAAAATTAAAATATATAATAACAAAAAATATATAACAAAAATAATAATAATTTTTTTATTTTTTTTTAAGATTACCTTGGATGAATAAACAGCTCTAGGATTTGAGGCACCTTTTAGTAAGGATACATTAAATATTTCTGGAATATCTGCAAAACCAGGTATTTTATATGCACCTGGACCTTTAGTTGCAATAGCTCCATTTCTTAAATATACCATTTCTTCCAATGTGAATAAACCATATCCTTGCATAAAAGCACCTTCAATTTGTCCTATATCAATCGCAGGATTTAAACTTTCACCTAAATCCATTACAATATCAGTTTGTAATACCTATACATAAATATTATTGTTTAATAATTTATATTATAATCTAAATCTAAATTTAAAATCTATATTTATATATTTATGATTATTATATATAATATTATATAATTATTATATAATTATGATTATTAATCATGAATGTGTAAATAATTTTAATATTTTTATTTTAAAAAATATAATATTTGTATATAAAATATTAAATGGATATATTTTTTATATTTACTTGATGATCTCCAGTCAAACAATCGATTTCTACTTCTGAACATGCAACGCCATACGTAAAATAATTAAATGCATTTCCTGTATTAGTTTCAAACGAATATTGTATGTCGGAAGTTTTATAAAAACCAGCAGCAGAAAGACTAATTCTTTCCGAATAAGCTGTTTTCACCCATTCTTCCCATGTACCATTAGGATTTTTATCTATCACTGGTTTTAGGCGCTCCATAATTTTATTGCAAGCATTCTGAAATTTTAGTAAAATTTAAAATAAATGTTTAATTTAATTATAAATATATTATCATTCGCTACTAAAATTTAATTTAATAATAAAAAAATAATAAAAATATAAAACAGTTTGAACAATACAAAAATTTATATATATATATATATATATATATACAACACTAAGTAAGAGGATACAGATGAATAAAAAAAAATATTTTTACATACCATAATAGCCATACCATTTAAATCTGAAGAAGCACTAGCTGCTGTTGCAGAGGTATTTGGTACTTTATCGGTAGCTGTTTCCATTATGTGTATTTTATCAGGTTTTAGTTTTAATGATCTACTTGCTACCTAAATATAAAAAAGAAAAAAAAAAAAAAGTAATATAATAAATACTTGTTATTTACAATACAATATAATATATAATACTTATTGCAGATTATTCTTCATTTGCATACAGTAAAATTATATTACTTCTGATATTAAAAATAATTCTAAAAAATTATATCTAGAACATAAATTTTCAGATTTAAAAAATGTACTTTTAATTTCAATAATCATAACAATTTGAAATTTTTCTTGATGGATCATGTTCTAAATATAATATACTTTAAATGATTAATATAAATAAAATATAATAAAAGTAAAGACAGAAAGTAAAATTTATAATTATTACGTTTTGAAATTTATAATTATAATTACAATAAAAAAATTTATAGTTACATTACAGAAATTAAAATTAAAAAATAGATGAAATTAATTAAAATAGAAAAATAAATTAATTTATATTACTTGTATCATTTTTGTATGTAAACCTTGTCCCATTTCAACACCACCATGACTAATTAATACAGAACCATCTGTATAAACATGTACAAGGGCTCCTGCTTGATTTAGAAAGATTATAGAGAAAGAAATACCGAATTTCGTTGGGACTATTGCCAACCCTTTTTTCTTGTATCTATTTTCTCTGTTAGAATAATGATTTATTAAAATCAATACCAAAAATAGTTTCATGCAAAAATCTTTATATTATTGAAATTTTACAACATAACTATATTATAAATAAAAATTAATTTAAAAATTTTTTAATTTACTTAAGAAAATTATAAAGTACGAAAAAACTATTAAAAAATTAAGAAAAATGAAAAGAATAAAATAAAATAAGAATATTAATAAAAATAAAATAAAAAAATAAAATAAAATAATAATATTTAAATATACCTGTTGTATTTTTGAACTTGTGCAAGACGTTCATTATAATTTGAAGATAAAATACACTCTTTCCAGCAACGTTGTATTGTACAATTAAAGAGCTTCTGATTATAATGAGTTGTATCTTCTTCTTTATATAAATTCAATTCTGCAATCTATTAGAAATTATGCATATATTGATTATAAACATTATAATTTTATATGATTAATTTTATAATATGATTATGATTTTGACCTCAACAGGATCTTTATTTAAATATTCTGCAATATGCCTTATCATTGTTTCAGCTAAAAACATTCCTTGCGGACCTCCAAAACCACGAAATGCCGTATTTGATGGTATATTAGTTTTACATATAAAACCATATACATCAGACACTGGTATTTTATAAGAATTTTCAAAATGGAACATAGCACGTTCTAAAACCTTAAAATTAATTCAAAATATAAAATTTAATATCTAAAAGATAAAACTTAAAATTAATTCAAAATATAAAATTTAATATCTAAAAGATAAAATATTTAATAACAGAAATTAATAAAGAAATTCAACATACTGCAGGAGATAAATCATAAGAATAACCCGCATTATTATAGATATAAACTTGTGCTCCTTTAATTAAACCAGAATCATCAAATCCAACTTTATATTTTAACAAAAATGGATGTCTTGCTCCAGACATCATAATATCTTCATCTCTATCAAGCATACAACGTACTGGTTTTTTTAATCTGCAAAAATAAGTTAAATATCAAAATCTTTGAATAATCTAATTTCATTTCATTCTACTTCATAATTTTTATTATTATTATTATTATTTTTTTTTTTTTTTTTTTTTT